CTGAAGGCACCTACACCCTCTCCTCTTCACACACTCCCCTCGGAAAATGCCCAACTACATCACTGTCTCCCAGCTCTCTTCCAAACCACAGGCTCATCACTGAGTGTCCCCCAGGCCCCACTACTTCTTCCCGCACCCTCTCTAATGTGCCTTGTCTTGGCATCAGCATCTCTACCCACCACATCACCCAATCCAGAAAGTTGACATCATTCTGAGCTCCTCTGTGACCCAGCTGTCCCATCACCACCTCCCAACCTCTCTGGTATCCTTCACTCCTGCCCACCATGCATCACTCTCGGAATCAGAGCTGCCAGCATTCTGCCTGAATTTCATCCAGGTCTTCTAACAAAGAAGCTCCAACCCATCTTTCTAATAGGATCGGCCATGCTGCTCCCTGCTTTAAACCCTCCAGTACCTCTTTTCAGCTGCTGGAATAGAGTCCAGGCTCCTCACACGCGCTTGGAAAGACGTGTCCATGTTGACCCCCTATCTCTAGAGGCCCAGGACTGGCTAGCCCCTCGGCTTGCTTGGCCTCCCTAAATGCCCTTACTCTCAGGTTCCTCTGGCCAAGGCTGGGCTGACCCAGGGCACCCAAGCTCACATTCAAAGCCTTAGCCCAGGCCCAGCTGCTCAGTGCCATAAACGGGGATTAGACACCCCCCTTTGAGGCGGGCGGGTGGGCTGTGAGAAGAGCTGGTTTGGTATAGATTTTATGACAGGATCACATTTCATCATCAGACCCCCCTCAGAAGCTGGCCAAGGGCAGGTCAGGGGCAGGGGAGCGGGAACTTGAGCCGCTCCATGAGTCCATAGCACAGAGCTGCTGGCCCGGGCGGGAGGTGCATGGGGGGAGGGGGGCATGACCATGGCTGGGACTCAGGGGCCTGAGTTCCAGCCTCCCCTCTGCTGGACCCCCACTATGTGAACTTGGACATGTCCTTTCATCCTCTGGACAGTAGTATGTAAAGCAGGTGTCTAGACTTCCATTTCCAGGCCCTCAAGCTCTCTCCCAGTTCAAGTAATAGCCCAAAAGGTTGCAGAGTTCTCATATGCTTACAAACTCACAGACTAGACTTGCCAGATAAAATACAGGATGTCCAGTTAAGCCTGAATTTCAGATAAACAATAAATACTTCTCAGTATTAGAATATCCCAAATACTGCATGGACATACTTATATTAAAAACTACTTGTTGTTGCCCGCTGGTGTAACTCTGTGGTT